ACTGTCAAGGTTCCCAAAATGAGAGTATTTTTGGGGAATGGAGAATTTCTGATTTGTGATAGGAAATGTTTGGGAGTACCATTGAACATTCAAGGATTCACTTTCTCAGTGGATTTTTGGGTGATTGAATTAAACAGTTTGGGCATTATTCTTGGAATCACTTGGTTAAGTGAATTGGGAAGAGTATTACATGATTACGTTGATATGTCTATGGAATTCATGACCCAGACTGGCAGGGTCGTTTTACAAGGTGAAAAGTTTGACAAAGCAGTGGTCGATAATGATCATAGCTGTTTCCATTTGGATGGCAACCTGGTTCAGGATGAGATACCCGAATTGTTGGAAATGAAATCCAAGGTTCCAGTAGCTATATGGGATCTGCTGTTACAGTTCAAGACAGTATTCCAGCTACCAACAGGGCTACCACCTCCTAGAAAGTATGATCATGCTATTCATTTAACTGAAGGAGCCAAACCAGTGAATGTCAAACCATATAGATATGCTCATCACCAAAAGGAGGAGATTGAAAAACAGGTTATTGATTTGTTGGCTTTGGGGTTTATTAAGGAAAGTAGGAGTCCATTTTCCTCACCTGTGTTATTGGTGAAGAAACATGATAATACTTGGAGGATGTGTATAGATTATAGGGCTCTAAATAGCATCACAATCAGAGACCGTTTTCCAATTCCCACCATTGATGAGTTATTAGATGAACTTAAGGGAGCAAGAATTTTTTCCAAGCTTGACTTGAGGAGTGGATACCATCAAATTCTTTTGGCACCTGAAGATTCTGCCAAAACTGCTTTCCGGACTCATGAGGGGCACTATGAGTTTTTAGTTATGCCATTTGGTTTGACTAATGCCCCTTCCACTTTCCAAGCTGCCATGAACAACATGTTCAAACCTTTCCTTCAAAAATTCATTATAGTTTTTTTTGATGATATCCTAATATACAGTGAATCCATGGGGGATCATTATCAGCATCTTACTGTTGCTTTGAGCTGTTTGCAGGATAACCAATTTAAGCTCAAACTTAGTAAGTGTAGCTTTGCCTTGCTTGAAATTGATTACCTTGGTCATTTGGTTTCTGGAGAAGGAGTCAAGGTGGACCCAAAGAAAATTTCTGCTATGTTAAATTGGCCACAACCGAAAGGTGTTAAACAATTAAGGGGATTTATTGGGCTCACTAGATATTATAGAAGATTTGTGAGGCAGTATGCTGTTATAGCTGCTCCTTTGACTGATTTGCTGAAGGATAATTCTTTTGTATGGAGTGAAGCAGCTGAGCAAGCCTTCGTGCAGTTGAAAAAGGCTATGTCGTCCACACCAGTCCTAGTTTTGCCTGATTTTTCTAAACCTTTCATTGTGGAAACTGATGCTTCTTCTATTGGTATAGGTGCAGTGCTTCAACAAAACAGCCATCCGATTGCTTATTTCAGCAAGAAATTGGGCCCTAGAATGAGGGTTGCATCCACTTATGTGCGAGAATTGTTTGCAGTCACAGAGGCAGTCAAGAAGTGGAGACACTATTTGTTGGGGTCTAAATTCATTATTCGCACGGATCATAGAAGTTTAAAGGAGTTGTTATCTCAAACTGTCCAAACTGTAGAGCAGCAAAAGTATGCCTGTAAACTAATGGGGTATGATTTCTCAATTGAGTATAAACCAGGTTCAGCAAATATAGTGGCTGATTCTTTATCCAGGTGTTATGAGGAGGAGCAATCTGGTATACTCTTATCCTTAATTTCTGAATCTAAGTTCCATTTGCTGGAAGAGATTAAGGCTGAGAATCAATTGGATCCTGAGTTGCTTGATATTCATTCCAAATTGCATGGTAATGAATTAACTGGTACTGAGGTAGTTGACAGAGATGGCATTCTGTATCATAGGAATCGATTCCTATTGGGAACTACTTCTGGTTTAAGAAGGAAGGTCATTCAGGAGGCACATTCTACTCCATTGGGTGGGCATGCAGGGATTACACGAACCCTGTTGAGGCTGTCTGCTTCTTTCTATTGGTCTGGAATTAGGAAAGATGTCACTGAGTATGTGAAGCAATGTGCTACTTGTCAAGTGATTAAAACAGCTACTGCTCCACCTAATGGGCTTTTACAACCTTTGCCTATACCTGAGGGGGTCTTTGAAGATCTATGTATGGATTTCATAACCGGATTACCATTATCTAAAGGATTTACTGTCATCCTAGTGGTTGTTGATCGATTGACAAAATATGCTCATTTTGGAGCATTGGCCCACCCTTATACAGCAGCAAAAGTGGCTGTTGTGTTTTGTGATATGGTTGTCAAGTTACATGGTTTCCCTAAGACCATAGTGTCAGATCGAGACTCCATCTTCCTAAGTAAATTCTGGTCCCATATGTTTAAGTGCAGTGGAACTACCTTGCGCACAAGTACAGCTTACCATCCCCAATCTGATGGGCAATCAGAGGTAACTAATCGTTACTTGGAGCAATACATACGCGCATTTTGTCATGATGAGAACCATAAATGGGCTGAATTCTTGGGATGGGCAGAATTCCATTACAATACAGCTCATCATTCTTCCATTGGCATGACCCCATTTCAAGCCTTGTATGGCAAGATTCCACTGATGATTCCTCCTTACTCCAAGGGATCTGTCCGCGTGGAAGCAGTGGATGTCACATTGACTCATAGAGATTCTCTCTTGCGACAACTGAAGGATCACTTAACAGCTTCCCAAAATAGAATGAAAGTTCAAGCTGACAAACACAGGAAGGATGCTTCTTTTTCTGTTGGTGACATGGTATTAGTTAAGCTTCAACCTTATAGGCAACTCACAGTGGCCAATAGGAAGAATCAGAAGCTAGCCAAGCGATATTTTGGCCCTTTTCCTATCTCACGAGTATTGAGTCCTGTAGCATATCAAGTTGAACTTCCAGCAGGCTGTCGAATTCATCCTTCTTTTCACATCTCAGTGCTCAAACTATATCGTGGAGATGCCACTGCTGTTGCTCTGTCATTGCCCGAAGAGACTCGAGAAAACCAACCTGTCCAATTTCCTTTAACAGCTTTAATGTCTCGTATCATTTCAGATTCACATGGAACTCAAAGGCAATGGTTGATCCAGTGGTCACACTCCCTTCCAGAGGATGCTACATGGGAGAATGAAATCGAATTGCAGTTGCACTACCCAGAATTTCGATTACCATCAATGAACCTTGAGGACAAGGTTCTCTTTGAAGGAGGGGGCATTGATAGGCCCAAGCACAGGAGGTTAGCTGGAGCACCTTCCTGGGCCAAGGACTTCATCAGTAGTTAGTGGGCTGGAGTATCCTGTTGAGCCCAAGCTGTAGTTAGTTAGCTGGGGAGGGAAGTGGGACAGATTACGTGGCTTACATTTAGTTTGTTATTAGGTTGATGTGGCAATGATCCACTGATATAAAGGCAACTATTGCATGAAATAGATAGACATCAGAATATATGAAAATTACTCTTGTTTTCTTTTCCCTGTTTCTTCCTTGTTCCTTCTTGTTCTTCGATTGATCCACAAGGTTAGGGTTCGCGTCCCTTTCATTAACACTATATTTTTAATTATTTTGATTATTATCTGAACTCTTTTTTACCATAAAAACATAGTGTCTTGGAAACTTATCAATTCTTATGAGGATTCACATCCACCTTCAAAAGCATCAGCGTCTTCGACAAATGAAGAAGTTGGTTTCACAAGTAGCATGTCCGAGTACTTGATAAATTCTATCCCATGCTGGCAGTTCGAAGATTTAGATGTGGTGTTTGGAATGAATATGACGAACGAAGTAACACAATAAGGAATGAATGAAATAATGATAGGGAGGCAATTGTTGACGGTTACTTACAGATAATGGGTAATGGTAAACAACAAAAACGGGGACAGACGATGGGAAACGATGGTTAAAGGAAAGGGCTTGGTGTTGGAATATGTATAAGGATATTTTTGTTAAATATATTTAATTGTTATGATTTGATAGTGAAAGGGGTTACTTGTTTGAATTGAAAGCATAAGGTGGTTTACCAAAAAAAAAAAAAAAACATAAGGTGGTTTTTTTGGAAATCACCCAAGGTAGAGGGTGGTTCAATGTAATTTGCCTTCAATTTTATGAATCTAATTTTAGTATATTCATATATTGGGCTTATCATGCTAATTGATGGTCCAAATTAAGCTAAGTTTTAACATATGCGTGGAGCTAGCGTGTATTGCAGCGGTACATTGATTATATACTTATATAGCATGAAGGATTCATATTGGTGGATAGGCGTAATACCTTCGTTCAAATTGGCAATAGTTGATAAGAGCATAATCCATTTGATTACAAGGATCGAGTCCATCACATTGTTATATATTTCTCAAAAACCACGCTAAGAAAACAATGAATTAGGGTGCTCTTATATTAGATAATGGGTAATTAGATCGTCAACCTTCATAATTCTTAAGCCAACTTTTATGATCTGGTCGTTGCTTGCTATTATATTTCTCCTTCTCGGGGACATTATATCATGCATTTTTCAATATTAAAAAAGATTGTATCACATATTATTGTAAACTAAAAAATTTCAAACCACAAATATTTTTCCGGCCCCGGTTTTATTTGCTGCCTAGAAAGGAAATTAGCCTTTGGCGACTACTTCTACCGCTATCCAAAAAATGTGCAAATATTAAGATTAAAAAATTAAAAAGAAAGATATAATATTAACAAGAAAGAAGACAAAATTTATTTGTATAATAATGTGTATTGAGTATAACCCAAATTCATTTATTTGAATAAAAAACACACAAACATTCATTTATTAATTGAAACAAACACAAATGCAAAACAGTACCAAAGTAACCTCATACAAAAACCTACAAGTAACACTTTAACTTTTTTCATATTTCCCAACTACACGAAGCACTCAATGTTATTCCCGCTATTTATATATGGATGATGTCAGATGTATATTATAATAAACAAGAAAAGAGAAACTAAGGAACAATTGGTTGATTCAGCTACTTTTGTTCATGTCTTCTTCACCCACAATCAATTTGGCCCTTGCATGGCCTTCCTTGATTTGAAACTGCTTCGCAAGGCCTAAATGAGTCATCAATAACCAAACAAGCGAAATGAATTCTCCACCTTTACCAAGTTGCTGAACATGGGTAATTGGTCTGCAATTAGATGCTGCATATGATAACAACTCCACCCATACTTGTGCTATGATTTTCCATCTCTTCTTCTCATTTAACTTTTTGATCTCATTGGCAAGTCTACATGCATCGAACAACACAGATTTGCTCCTATCTCCCTTGACAGAAGATGGTTCTTGATCAGTACACACATCAATAAGTTTGCGGCATGCCCTTTTCTTCTGATCATTCATTTCCTTCTTTTCTTGATCTTCTCGTATTTTCTGATCCCTCTTGCTAAAGAACTTATTAGCCTCAGCCCATGTGTCTTGGAACCTTATCTGCCCAATTCCCCCGATAGCAGACATCATGTTGGGTTGCATGATCAAAAGGTATAACATGTAATCTGAAAGAAGCTTACTGAAATCCCGAAAAAGCTCATCCTCTTTATCAGTGTTACCCCTTCCTTCCTCAACATCTTCATCTTGAGCATTTTTGTGATCATCATAGAACAGGAGGTCAGTGGCAATGTGCCACTGAATAAGACTTTGATCAAAAGTGACTATGTTGGCATCTACATAAGGCATCAATTTGTCAATATCATGTCGCCGTATTTCACCTTCTTGAATAACCCAAGAACCTCTAGAAGAGCATATTCTCTGTATAGTTTCCACATCATCTACGTCCCCAGATTTTCTCTTCAGCTCCTCGAAGATAAAACTCCAAAGACCTTGACGCAATTTTTTCTTTTTCTCATATTTCAATTGTTCTACAAACTCTGTGGCTCCAATGTATTCAAAATATCTATCCCACCAACGCTCCTTTTTATATAAGCAATAATAAATCAAATTGTAGGCAGCAATTGATTCAGACCATCTCCGACACAATACATTCCTAGACAAGATTTCCTCTTTCCACTTTAGTCTATTGAACTTGAGGAAACCTCTTGAAATAGAAACTATGAATATTTTAATGCCTCTAAGACGATCCTTTTTGCTAGGATCAAATGCAAAAGTGTCATCAGAAAAAATGAGCATCAACAAAGACACGGTATCCAAAGCCACAGCACCATACAACAACGTGTAGGTGACTACGACATCGAACTCATTGCAACCATGCTTTTGGTCAAAAACAAAGAGCACTAAGGCTGCCACAGTGCAACTAACCGCCACAAATCGGAAAATATATCCTACCGTGGTGCGCACCACTGATGACTTGGTATAGAAAGATTCATACATGAAGTTGAGTTCAACCTCTATCACTCTCAAAGCATCCTCTGCATTTTGCTTGAGGAAATATTCGCGGCTCTCGCTACGCTCATAGAAGCTGTAGATCATGTCAACGATGAGCCCCTTGAAGGTATCGAACAAGCCATGAGCTTTCCTCACCACCTCCACGTCATCTAGAGTTTCTTTCTCGTGTTTGCCTTCGGATTCATTCTTATTCTTTTGTGGCTTTTCTACTTCAGCTTTGGTTGAGTTAGCACCTAATATAGATATATAAATATAAAATATAAAAAAAAAAAAATCAATAATATGCCTTTACCTAGTTCTCTAAGTTTTTGGATTGAATCAGTTACACCACGTGATGTTAGAGACTTTATGACCAAGTGATCTAGACTTGAATCATGGCATCTCTCATTTTATTAATTAATAAATAAATTTTATAAAAAAATTTAAAACTGGTAGACACAATATTAAAAAAGGCTGGCTCAATTATCGACGGAACTTATCGATGTAAAAAATTTTGTCGAAATTATGGACGGAATTTTTGATCGAAAACATATTCCATAATGAATAGAGATGAAAATAAATTCCGTCGAAAATAGAGATGAAATTCGTTTTGATCATTATCATCAGTTGAATTTTTTGACGAAAAAAGATTATTTCGATATATTTTGATGGAACTCTGTTTGATTACTGTTTTTAAAAATAATTTTTTAGTTTTCAGAACAACAAACAAAAAAACTCATTTAGTAAGGCCTCTTTTGTAAAAAAAGTTTTAAAAACTGTAATTATTTTTTGTTTTTAGAATCAAATTTAAAGAACATGTGAGAGTTGTTTTTATTTTCTGTTTTGGTTTTTAACTTTCAAAACACAAAAAATCACAGAAAATAACTATTTCCATAATTATTCTACAAAATAGTTTTAAGGAAAAAAAAATCAAAACACAATTAAACAGGCCGTTAGGAAATTCGACGTCTTACAGTCCATCAATAATTTCATCGAAAATTTCATCTTCAACAAAATTTTCACCGTTTTGACGGAAAATTTGCATCAGAAAAATGGCTTTTTTTAGTAGTGATAAGTGGGATTGTTTATTATTTGACTTTTCTGTGATAGGTGTTACTAAAATGTAAAATAAAATACAAAGACCATTAATATACTTTCAATTTAAAAATATTTAATTTTTTGAGTTAAATTGGTTGCAAGAGATCACCTGGTTCTAGTTCTGGCTCTGGCATGGTTGTAATTGAGGTGGGAAGACCAGCATCTTTCCTAGACTTGTATTCCTCCATGAGTTTTGCATAATTGGGACCTGGATCTGGGTCACGAACACATGATTTTCTGAAGTTACTATTGCTTGCAAGTTGAAGAGACCGAGTCCTCTCCGCGTACTTAATGATCCCAGCAAGGAAAACGAGTGTTGTTGGGAGCCACATAGTGTTTGCAGGAAGTGTCAAGAGGAAGACGTAACCAGTTAAACCCAATTGAACGAAGAGACCAAGCATGTGCCTGAGCCAGAGTTCATTGTCTTCAAGAGAGAAAGCAGTGATGGTGTCAGGGCCACCCAAGTGCAAAAGAAGAAAGGGTGCCCAAAACGCAAGCAAGAAGTCATTGACGTTGGAAATGGAGGTGTCTTGGTCTCCATATTTGTTGGAGATAAGTCCAATACAGAAGTTGGCAACGTAATCAGCAATAAGGTAAGTAGACCATAGCGACAAGACCACTATGCTATTTCTTGTGCGTTTTCTGAATGGTGCCAAGAAAATAAGAACTACCTGAAGGGAGAGACTAGTGAGGATAGCACCCCTGATATTCCACTTGGTCCATACGTTTTTCGCGAATTTTGGGATTGGGTTAACCATTTTCTCTTCTATGCTCTCTCTGTATCTCTAGTTCTGTTTCTTAACTTGGTCCATTTGTTGGATTTATAGTTGTTCAAATTAATAAGAAAGTGCATGTTCTTGTAGTTAACGCACCAATAGTTGTCGGCAGATAAATCGTACGACGACCTCAAACGTTCTAAACATGACATTGTACTTGGTTAAACACCACAAGATTGCTCATTTCTTTTTCTTTTCTTAAAGAAAGATTCACTACAAAAGAGTTGTGCATAAGAACCTGCAGTTTCTTTTTGTTTTTGCTGGCAGATTGTTCTTCATTCCTTTTCTTCTTTATTCCCTGATCAGGGTTGGTGCGGTTGTGATATGATCTTCCTCCATATCACCAAAGACATGAAACTTAATGGTTAACTCTGGTGGTATCAGTTTTGTTCTGTTCCAATTCATTTCACATATCTTTTTGTAAAGGGTTGGCTATATCGACATTAAGTTCCTATTTACCCAAGTTCAAGTTAATGGTTAACTCTGATGATAACCATGTCTCTGCTTTGTCTCTTTTGCTTTTCCCTTTATAGTCCTTTTGTTCGTCAGGGAATTAATGCATCTATTTTGCTTTGGCTGAGGAAGTTACCTTGAATATTAACTTTGTTCCTTAAAAAAAAAAAACTAATCTTTCACTGCACGCACGAAGGAAACTTTCAAAGTAAAAAACAAAAAAAAAAATTCTCAATTACTGATTCTATAAATATCCTGTAGATATTCTAATCGGTTCATCTCTTCGCAACTAGTTCGATTCAGGGATATTGGTATTAAGGCTTTAAGCCCCTTTCAAAGATGATACTAGGGAAAATCGAATATATGTTATCTGTAAGAACCCGCACCGTTAATTAAGAAAGTTAATTAATTAATTATGTGAAATTAGGAAATAATTTCATAATTGACCCTAATAATTATTATGAGGCTTAAATAATGATGGTAAGTGAGTAATAATGCTGAAAGTCACTTTTCTGACGAAAAGTGCAAATACCGGTTCTGCTACTCGGTATAACTGCGTACCGATGAAATATCCCGGAAAATTATGAAAAGTGGGTATATGTCACTAGAATAATATATAGGACTTGTAAAATGAGTTTCAAGTCAAAATAATGAGAACCGGTTCCAAAACTGATACTGGCTATGAAAAAGCGCGTACCGGAAAGGTGCTGCGAAAAATAAAATAAAAATATGCTAAATCTTGTAAAAATGAGTAGGTTTAGATTCCAAAGTGTGGGATTAAATTGCTAAGCGTAGCAATTAGCGCTAATACAGTGCGATTAAGTTTAAATCGGCTATAAATATGACTTTTGCACAAAACCCTAGGCACTCTTTTGTTGCTCTACGTGGATGGGAACTGACCAGCACTCTCACACTGTTTCATTGCCTTCTCTTCTTCTTGGTGTGAGCCTAGAGGTCATTTCTTCCACTTAATCTTCTCCTAAACACCTTGTGTGAGTGAGTGATACCTTTGGGAGTGTGGAAGGCTTTGTTTCTGGGTTGGTGTCTGTTTTGTTGGAGTTTTGGGTGCTGGACTTTCTGGTTGAGTGTTGTGAGCTCTTGTGTTGGCACTTTGAGCTCCAAGAAAGTCATCTTGTGTACAAAGAACCAACCTTTGATCACCATTTTTGTGTACTTTGTGAAGTCAGACTTGAGGAGCTGTTGGTGAGCTCCAAGAGCACCTTCTTGCTCTGTTTTGAGCTTGGGTAAGTGTCACCCACCTTGATCATGAGTTTTAATGGTTAAAAGTGGAACCTTGATGCATATAATGAATTAAAGATCATAACTTAAGGTTGGGTAATGTTAAACACACCTTAAATCGCATGTTTGAGCTTCTATATGCATGAAATGAACCACCTTTGGATTGATATCTCGCGAAAATGCAGAATCTGAGTTCTGTCGCGAAATATCCGGATATTGGGTTAGAAATATCCAGATATTGATATCCGGATATGGATATCCGGATATAAATATCCGGATATTTCCAGACAAATATCCAGATATTGATATCTGGATATGTCTTCGACGAATATCCGGATATTCTGGGTTTTCGAAGAACAGTAGCTGCACTATTCATACAGAATGTTGTTATGGGTTTGTGGACCCTAGTTTGATGAAGTAGGACTTCTGTAATGATTAATCTAAGTCAGAATCAAGTGATTAAGGACTTGTGGCTTTGTGAGAAGCCTTAAGACGTGAAAAGTAAAGGAAAGACGTTGTCTCTATGTCATATGCGTGTATGCTGTATATTGATATGATTCTTGGTCCAAAACAGATTGTGATTCTGCTGTGTTTGGGCTTTGAGATTTGGTTGGACTCTTGGCATTGGATAGTTAGCTTGCAAGGTAAGCTTTCGTGTCCTCGGTTTAGCCATTGTATGGTTCCACCATACCCCATAGGGGAATGGTTTATATGCATGCTGTGTTTACATGATTTTATACTGGAAATGCTTTTGAGCTGATATGTGAGATGGCTTATAATATGTATGTGTTGTTCCACTTTTGAGCTGAGCTAGATCGGCCAACGTGGCAATGCTGGACGCCGCTCGTGAAGCGAACCAGAAAGCCACGGAGGATGCTCTTAAGGCGAACTGGCTGGCGAACATGACCATGATGCGGGTCATGTTGGAGGAGATGAGAGCTGGTCCTACTGTTGGTCAGTTTCCACTGCCACCACCTCCGCCACCTCCACCTAGTCTGTAGGACGAGAGCCAGAGCCAGGTTGAGGGCACTGGTCACTTGACTGGGGTGATGGAATCCTTTGTGGAGCCTGCTGAAGATAGAGATGTGATTGATCACCAGCTTAATGCTTTCCGCAAGCATAAGCCACCTTCGTTTGATGGGTCTTATGATCCTATTGTTGCGGCGAGATGGCTTCAGGCGTTGGACAAGATCTTTCGGGTCGTGCAGTGTACTGATCCGCAGAAGCTGATGTTTTCTACCTATATCCTGAAGGGCGATGCCCTTGAGTGGTGGGTGAACACCTCTCACGCTTTTGAGATGCAGGGTCATGTCATGACTTGCTATTCTTCGAAGATTGCTTTCTGGGTCGGTATTTCCCTTATGATGCCCAGGAGAGGAAGCAGGGGGAGTTTGACAGGTTGGTACAGGGCTCGTTGTCTGTTGATGAGTACTTGGCCAAGTTCAATGAGCTGGTTAAGTTCACTCACTTTCGGATGGAGAGGCCTACTCCGATCTTCCGCAGGGGGCTTAATGAGGATATTGCTAGTTACATCACTGGTTCTGCTTCGAGAGACTTCGGGACACTGGTGCAGCAGTGTCGGGACATCAAGGACTTCTACAACTCGAGTAAGGCCAAGAGGGCCAAGATTGCTGAGACGAAGGGAACTAGTAGTTCCACTTCCTGGAAGGACAGGAAGTTTGCTGGAAAGGGAAAAGGGAAGCAGTTTGCGGCTAGGCAGTCACCTGGTCAGTTCAAGAGGACTTCTTCGCAGCAGAGTGGTTTTACTAGGCCTCCTTCCACTCCTAGGTGTTCGGGGTGCGGAAAGGAGCGTGTAGGACGTTATGCTTCGGGGAGACTCCTGTGAGGCCGTGGAGAGTTATTGATAGAGATGAAAGAAAACTGAGAAATAAGTCAATTTCGATGATCGAGATTCAATGGGAAGGCAGGACGCCTGAGGATGCTACTTGGGAGCGTGAGGATGAGATCCTCCGGCTATATCCTGAGTTTGTTTCCAGGTATGATCCTAATTTTGCGGACAAAATTCTAAAAAAGTTGGGTGAGTATAATAACCCTCACATGTAGTGTTGGATTTAATTATGAATTAATGATTTTAATCATGATATTGAAGAATAATTATAAAGAAAGTAGAAGAAAAAGAAATAAAGCCACCTTTGATGAAAAAGGAGTCAAAATGACAGTTAAGGGGTAAAAATACGGGTAAATAAAGTTACCCTAAAGTGAAAAGTAAAATTATAAATATTACCATAAAAATATTGTAAACCAATGTGTAAAGTTAGAATGAGAGTTAAGTGAGTGGGATAGATAAACTTATACCCACTTGGATTTTTTAAACTCATTTAAAAGGAAAGTAACACGTTCTCTCTCCTATTTCACTTTCATTATCGTCGACTCCCTGTTTCTCTCATCCGAAGGTGTCTATTTGAATTCTCTTCATCTTGTGCTTCCAAAAATCCTTATGAAACAAGACGATCCACCCATTAATCTTCATCTTCTTCATATTCCTATCATCCTCCTCCATTAATGAGTTGTTGTGAGAGAAAATGGAACTCATTTGGTGAAGTCATTTTCAGATTTGTGCTTATGGGAGGTGCATTTCTTGGATTGGAAGCTTGGTTGTCTTCTATTTAGTGATTTGTGGCTCCAAAGGTAAAAACCTCAACTCCTTCTTGTGATTTTGGACAAAATGCATGAGTTTAGGGTTGTATAAATGGGGTTTTGATGGTATGGATAGTTAGAGAGTGATTTGAATATAGCTACCTTTGTTAAATATGCTTAGGATTGCTTCTTGATGAAAGACAGAAAAATAAATCGTCATTTCGCTCGCTATAGAAAATCATGATTTTTGGCTATATGTTAATTTCGAAAATTAAATGGTATGAGTAGTTGGAGGGTGATTTATAGGTGAGTCCCTTTGTTAAATATGTTTGGGATTGGTTCCCGTAAAAGGAAAAATTATGAAATCGTCATTTAGGACACTTTGATAAATTAGACAAATAAATCAAGTGAAGGTTTCTTGTATGTGTAGTCTAAAAATTTAACGTGGTAGACTGGTATATAGGAATACTGATTGTCTTCACATCTTGGAACTAGGTTGTGACTTTGTAAAAGATCGTGACGCTGTGTGTAACGCCCGGCCGCTTCAAGAATCAACGATTATCCCCACATACTAACACGAAACTTTTCAGTGGGCTTTTTCCTCACTCGCACACTTCCCGAAAAAACTTCCCAGTAGATCACCCATCTCATAATTGCTCCAAGTCAAGCACGCTTAACTATGGAGTTCTTCC